AGATTAAAAAAAATTAAATTAGTTTTTTTATAATAAATATATATTATATTTTTTAAAATATCCTTGTTAATCAAATGTATTAACTATAATTATTATTATTAGAAGAATTATTTTAAAAAGAAATGAATAAATATGGAAGATAAAATACACTAAGATCTTATATTTAAAACCAAAATAAAAATCAAACAAAATCTTATATTAAAGATCAAAGATAACATTTCACTATTAGTTAACTACGTATTAACCAAGCACAGGCTACATTAAATGCAATGTGGGTTGGAATAGCATGTATCTTAGCAGGTTGGCAACTGCTACAGCGAGTTGGAAGTTTTTTTTTTTTGGTTAAATAATTACAGTTTACTTTTTCTTTTGGATATACAATTAATGCAATTTTTTACATCCAAACTAAATATCCAAAGATCAAATTGAACGATTCCGCAAGCCTAAATCATTAATAACATACATAGAGCACTTCGCATTACAAACATCATTAACAATTCAACATCAATTTATCAACTATTTCAAAGCTTACAGACAAAAAAAATCTAATCATCTTCGATAATGATGTTTGAAGCATCATCTGAAGCCCTTGAAACATCAACACTTTCCTTTTCCACAAATTCCTCTGCCATACATAATGAAAAAGGTTAGGTGTGCACCTAATTGCTCTCAATTGAAAAGTTATATATATGAAATAAATGGGCAAATATGATCATATTACCATTCCATGGAAAACCAAGAATCCAATTACGAGTACAAATAAGTGTTTGAACATTCTCCGGAAGAAGGCAACTTCGATATTTTGTCAGAACTCGTGAACCAATACTAAAAGCCGATTCACCAGCAACTGTAGTAATTGGAATGCTTAAAATATCACATGCCATCTTTGAAAGACAGGGAAACCACGTGGAGTTAGTCTTCCAATAATCCAAAACATTAAGTTCTACAAACAAGTTAGGATCAAGTGTTCCTTCTTCCAAATAATAGTCTAATTCAGACTTCTTAATTGTTGTGGTGTCTTTGCTCTTGTATTCAAGATAATCCTGCATTATACAGATAAAGCGTTAATAAAGTACCAATCAAATAATATTAAAAGGAGACATTTAACGATTCAAGAATTTCAAACTTACACCAAAAGCAATCAAGTTCATGTCTTTATTAGTTATAGAGTAACGAGTAGAAATTGGTGGCGCTGTCCTTGACACATTGACATTAGAACTTGATTCACTTCCAACAAAAGGAACTGAAGATGGTGATGATCCCACATCTTTATACTCATTGAAAATATAGTATAACTTGCTCCTAATATTTTCAATCTTCTTGTTACAATTTACGGGATCAAGTTCTGAATAAGCAAATTTTATGACATCAAACTTCATTCGTGGATCAAGGATAACTGCAAGTGCAAGAATGACACTATAATCACTCCAATATTTCTCAAATTTGTCAAGCATTCTCACAGCCATATCTTGAATCACAACATCATCATTATGCACATTTTTCTTTAACTTTGTCTCAATTTGTGATATCAATATGAAGTACATGTTGGAAGTGGGATACGATGACTCCGAAATCAAGTTAGATATCACTGCAAATGGCTCCAAGAATGTGCATATCTCATCTATTCTATACCACTCTTCATTTGTTGGACAATGATGATAATGGCTATCATCAAAAGCTAAACAAACAAAAGCACGACGATATTTAAGCGCACTTTTAAGCATTGCATGTGTCAAATTCCATCTGGTTGGGACATCTAACCTCAAACCCACTGAAGTGTCAGCACCCCCAACTTGTTCGACACATCTCTTGAATTTTAGTGTCGTCTCCTCTGTTTGTCTCACATATCTAATGCTCTCTCTAATCTTATGAATAGCTTCACTTGTCATGTTCAAGCTCTCTTGAACTATGAGATTCAAGATTTGGGCACAACATTGCACATGAAAAAACTCCCCATTGCATATCAAGCTATTACTCAAATTCAACCTCCATTTTAGCACATTTTGCATACTGTCATTTGCTGAAGTATTCTCCGAGGTAATAGAAAATAGTTTCTTTTCAATCCCCCAGTCTGCCAATATATCATATGCCCTTCTAGCCAATTCAAACCCAGAGGAGGGAGGCTCCACCTTAGAAAATGCAAGTATTTTGCTATTAAGCTTCCATTTCTCATCAACAAAGTGAGCACTCAAGCAAAGATATCCTTCAGAATTTACTGAAGTCCAATAATAAGAAGTTAAACATACTCTACTACGACTCTTCCCTATCATTTCCTTGAGATTCTCTTTTTGACTAAGATAGACATTCCAAACATCCACCATAGCAGTTTTCCTAGTAATGTGCTTGCAATTAGGATTCAAATATTTGAATATATCCCTGATTCCATCATACTCAACAAAGGAATATGGAAGATCATGTTTAATGATAGCCATAGAAATCAATTCTCGGAATTTGTTATGATCAATTTGTCTAGCACGAATGCCCTCACATTTTGGGATTGATTCACACATGTTCACATGACGCAGAAGAGTTGAAGTCTCATATTCCTTGCCGCCCACAATATATGATTCTCCACACCCATTACATGTAGCCTTTCTTTTTCCATCTACTTTGCCAACTCTAGTAAAATACTTCCAAACTTCAGATGTGGAGCTTGTTTTTACCTTTTTGTTTGGATTATCTTGCCCAGAAGAGTCAGGTTGTACAGATTGGTATTCCCCATCATCATGAGCTTCCAACTCTAACTGGAAATCAGAGACAGAGCAAGCCTTCAAGTTCAAAGAAAAAACCTTGACATCAGGATATGAAAGGAGACAAAAAAGGGGGAAAGAAAAAAACTTAAAGGAGGGAAAAGTAAAAGAAAAATACCATTAACTTGTCAACAATGAAGGTTAAGTAAGTGCTCTCTGGACAACCATATCACGGAACAGAGTATCCCCAATTTAGAACTGTTCTGTGAAAAATCCTGCTGTTATTTGTACATCGAGGGTGGAAACAAAAACAGAAACAACAATTTTATGAAAGGCCCACTAACAGCAGAACCACTATCTCCCAAGCAAGGTCTCTGTCCTCATTTCTATAATATCGACTATAGAAGTATATCATATCTTACGCCAGATAACAGTGATTCAATTTATAAGAGTCACGCTCCTAAGTAAGGAAAATTGCCAAAGCTCAAATTTAAAGCTACAACGAAGAATGGAACCAAAAGAATCAAGATAAAACGGATGAAGTGACTAGATGCGTGAAAAAGTGAAAAAGAAAGTAAGAAAAAGGAAAAATGAAATCAGAGAAGAAAATACCAGATTTATCAGAGATGAAAAGGTGATTGAAACTTAGCAGAGACTAGCGACCTCTAAAAATTGAGGCGAGAAAAAAAAAAAAAACCGGGAAAGTGCACGTATAGTGGAGTTTTGGACGGCGACGACGATTGCAAGGTAGGGAGGCTCTATCGGCTGTCGGTCGGAGGCTCTGAGCCGTAACCGTGAGCGTAGTAGCCACAGCAGGTGAGGCCTAGGGTTCTCTTTCTCTGCGCGCCAGGTTTTCTTCTATACAACCCTGCGCGCCAAGCCTCTCCATCTGGTGTGGTTTGATTTACCAAATTAACAAAATTGAAAGGTGGGCTCAGTCGGGTCGAAACAGACCCGCATCCTCCATCTCCTGGGCCTTGTCATTTTTTTATGGTTTGAACTGTGAGCCCACCATACTACAAGAGATTCATCAGAGCTTGTATACTCTAGGTTCAAAAAACACTTGCAGAAATACTTACAGGTCACCCATCAATAAAGTTTTTATATCAGCGGGATTATAAGCTGACTTCTTACTAATTGTATCAACTCTTGTGAGTTATATTATGATTCTAATATTAGCACATTATATAGTCATATAGTAATACAGAAATTATAGCGAACGAAAGTTGGAATCCTGCGGGAGAGGTGAATGTTTAATAATGTCTTGAACAAGATTATCTCTAGTAAAAGGATAGTTGTGTTTACAAAGAAAAAACAGAAATTATGGGGTACGTGCATAAAAATTACTGTTACAATTACATATTTTATGCTGCAGTTTTTTCTTTCTTTTCGTCAAAACAGTCTTGAGACAATTCCAGATTCCTTATACTTTCTCCCAGAGGCACCCAACAATTTTTTTAAAAAAATTTCATCTCTTACTCATAATTCATTCGTTGAATTGACTCTGATTTCAATTATTACTCATTTACTCTATCTATTTCCCTTATACTAGAGCCATTTTTGCATAAAATTATGGACAGGCAAATGGGGTTTTAAAACTTTAGCAAGAGTAAGAATGCTCAAAACCAAATCATTAGCCACAAAAAAAAAACTATTAAATGGACTCAAAAATACTCTTCTGATTCTTAATATAGGACCTAATTGAGACTAATGTTGAATTTACATGTAAAACATATTTAACATGTTCATCATTTTTTTTGGAAATAAATCCCATTGATATTCCTCTAATAATAATCAAGTAAGAAATGAAGAGAAAGAATTAAGAAAGATATTTATGGTATTTAAAAAAAAAATATCATATCAATTAATTTAACTAAAATTATTAGTAGTTTTTATAACTTGAAATCAATTTAGTCATTGATTGTTAATAGAACTCAGTTTATGTTGTTAATAATAATAATAATAATAATAATAATAATAATAAAGAACTCAATGTAATTGGATAAAACTGAATGGCAAGATAATCAGACCAAAGAAACCGAAATATTCCATTTTGCAAAATCGATTAAATTGATTTGATTTGATTTTGTTAGAAATTAAATCAATGTACAATTGCTCAATAGTTCGATTAAATGGCAACAATTAGGGCAGCAAAAGGACGCCATGTGGTTGCAACGCATTACAATAATAACAAGCCTTCTGCCAAAGTCAGTTATATGGATCGAACGATATTATAGTAACATACCAACAAACAACTCTTAAAATATACCAGGCACCAATATACGCCCTGCAAAATACAGCAAAGCAAAATTCTTCCGCAACAAAATGGGCCATAATTGCATCAATGGCAAGAATTAGTAAATAATTTAACTTTTACATGTAAATTAGTTTTGTACAATTGAAAAGGTACAGTAGCCAAAGCAAACTGTTAAGTGTTGGAAAGGGGAGAAGTTATTCAAATTAGCTTTTTGAGCAACTTGGCAATGTTTATTAACAAAGTGATACAGAAATCCTAGTGAGTGTTAAATTTCAACACAGTCGTCGTCTTCATCATCCATGTCTTTGTCCCAGTCCAATGAGAAGGATGCAGCTGATTTCATCAACTCTGTTAGTCCAGTCAGATCCTCTAGGTAGGTGGGATGATTAATTGCCTCAAGTATGAATTCCATTCCTCTGTTCCGATATTCAGATACAACCTGAACAGTTGTAATTTCACCCACACAAAAAATAAATAAATAAGAAGTCTGGAAATTCCTAGTGAATTAGACATCATGAAAACCTTAATCACTCTATTGTTCTTTGAGGGGCATCATATCCAGGAAATAATATATCATAAGATATAATTCTCACTGCAACCGGCATTTTCAGTGAACATAAATAGTGCATCAAGAGAGGTCTTTTTTTTTTTGGGTGGTGAGGGGACAAGAAATAAACAACAGATGCAAAGATGGAATGAGAACCAGACACCGTCATATTATTTTGTATCGCTTTGCGTTCAAATGCAAAAATGAATTAGAGACATGTAAATCTCCTAAGATAGCTTTATAAAGTACAGTTGTAATTTCACTACAATCAGGCAAGGAAGCATGAATACTAATGTGGGCAAAGATAATCTTTAAAAGTTTAAAAAGCCCATATCATGTCAATTTCAAAATAGATATTTTTTGACTGTCCTTGCTTCATACTAACAAGAGATAAGAAATCTATGAAATATCTAGTGATAACTAGTCTAGTCATGAACCTTGAAAATTGAAAACACTACTAGATTATTCCATTATTCATCCCATAAACATTGCCATAGCATTTGGGATAAAATCAACTATTGAAGAAAAAAATAAAGCACGCATATGCCACAAGAATTTCAGCATAAGCAATCCATATACATATTTGGTTGGATGAGAAGTATTATATATACCTGCAGACATATTTTCATCAAAATTGTCAATATTTCCCCATTTAGGTTCACCTTAGATCCAAAATATCTCAGGATTTATAATGTTTGCACTTGGTTGTCTAGGTTGTTTACATTGATCCTAAACAATCTAAAAGGGATTTGAGAAATTCTCTATAATTAAGTATCAAGGAGAAGTATGACATTAGGTGTGATCTAATGATGAAAGGTGTGAGTAGTTAAAAGGAGGTCTAAGGTTTAAAAGATTCACTTCATCAGGAAATTTTAGTAAAAGTAGTTTGATGACATCTGGGTAGTATCACAAAATTCTTTTGACCACATGATTAAGCTTATCGCTCAGGAGTTTAATTTAGCACAACCAGAGGCATTGCAGGAGGCAATGATGATATTTGGGGCATACAATGACACTAAAATTTTTGCAAATGAGTCACCATAGGTGCTATTGACCGCCCAAACTTACCATTTGGCAACAAGCTGTACAGCTGGAGGACGAGTGACCTACAAGAGTCATTTGAGAAAATTGAGAAAGGGAACCCCGAATTTGATGTGGTAAAATACCAAGAGGTTGCTCTGTACTTCCAATGACACCGGAGTTAATTTCACCCTCTGCATATATCCTGAGAAAATGTAGTCAAGATGTGAATTTCAGGGAGATATATGAAGCAAAGAAGCCTGAGGGTGATGCATGAGAAATAATAAAATAACTATTTGCGGCATTACCCTTGAGGGTGATGCAAAATCCCCACTAAAAGCTCAACTGCAAGGGATGAAGCAATAGGAGCAAGCCCTGGCCGAGTCACTGTGCACTGCTGGTCCAGAGTGCGGTTTGAGGTTGACTGCAGAAAGGACATAAGATTTAGAACTTCACAAAATGTTGTGTGTGTATGCATTCAAATATATCATAGTGCTGCAAGAAAATTACATCAGTGGGTGCAACGACATCACTGCAGAAATAACATCCCAATCTTTCCTTTCCTGTTGCTTCATTTACATTAAGTTTTTGCATATCATCACATAAAGAAGTTACAGTTTCAGTACTCAGATTAGGGGCTTGACTGAAAGGGCCAGCTCCATGGCGCATAACCAAGAAACTATCAAATCCTAGAGCTGCAGTAATTGTAATCTGCACATAGATAAATAGTATTCACGTAAGGAATGTTAATTTAAAATCAAATTAAGGCAGATATGATATATGCTTCAGTTAAAATGTTAATTAAATGTGATGCAGGGATGCGGAGTAAGACAATGACATACATGTCATCTAAAAGATTAAATTGACTAACCTTGTTAGTATTAGCACAAAGAAGTGATGGAAGCCATCGACTTTCCCTTGTATCAGTCAATAGGAAAACTGCATCATGTGCATCAATCAAATCAGAAAGACGTCTACAATCATCAACTACGCTCTTCTCTTCTTGGCTAGGTATTGGATGCCCAGGCATTGGTATAGCCATTACAACACCTTCAGCTTCCTGGAAAAAAAAAAAAAAAAGGCATGCCAATATGAGAAAGAATGTTTGGATCAAGCATCAAGGCAGTTTCAGACCTAATCAATTACCACTGCTGGAAAGATCTGTTGAAGACTTCTAACTGCTGCTGTAGCTTTGAATTCGCCACCATTAAGGCAGTGATCCAAAGTATACAGGGATTGCCTCAGCGGGTTAGACATAGCAACCCTCCCATTGTCCAGTAGTGTAATTTTTCTGACACCCCATGCCTGCAACACTCACAAGCTTAACACTTGTAGAAGGAAAAAAGAATCAAACCAAGATTTTACCATACTCACCATGAGCATACGAGCAACCTGACATCCAAGTGTACCTGCTCCAAGAAGAAGACACTTGACAGAAGATAAGGCATTCAAGTTTAAGGAAGGCAAAGCACGCCATCTCATAAGCTTTAAATTCAAATCTGCAGCAGATATTGCCAACCTGTAAAGATACAAGTATGAAAATAGTAATGTAGAAGAAAGATGATACAAGTAGCAGAATAACACAACAAATAACAGGAAAAACAATGCAAATGAGATACCTAGCCGGATCCAAAGATTGAGAAAGGCTAATACGTCTTGGTGTTTTTCTCCCTTTGTTAACTTCCCATCCAACTGCATTAGGTACACTATCTCTCCCCCCTAAACATACATCCCTTTTAAGTTAGAAATCTAAAAACCTGGAAAAAAAAAAAAAGAGGAAAGAAAGAAAGAAAGAAGCTAAAGATCAAGTCCACCAAACAATTTCAGCAGTTCTACCTTGGGAATCCGTAATCAATGCTTCACCGACAAGGGATAAGTCCATATCTGCAAAACCACGATTCTCTCTATAGCAGATAAACTGAACTCTCTTGAGATTCCACTTTGCAGAAAGAAGTGCTAAGAAATTCCGCAGAGGCCACCCAGGATTATTTGGAAGATGACATGGGTCATAAAATCCAAAGAGGATCTGCGGAAAGAACAAAGTAAATTTCAGTCAAAAGGCATCTATAATTTCACATCCAGAGACCAGAACGAAGCAATTTCACAGAGGAAATACACAATTATCGTAATTCAAGACCTTGCAAGATTCACTCTGACAAGTCTCCCAATCCTTTAGGTGCTTGATAGTGGCGCAGGAGTTTGGATCTATGGTGACAAAAAAGAATGGAACATCTGCCACATACTCTAATTATTAAGTTAATCTCGAAAAGGTTAAGGGAAGCAACCAATAATAAATATTAACAATAAATTAGAGAGATGGTAATTTATGTACCTGCTGTAGACCTTGAGTTACGCCATTCGTTACAAGCTACAGAGAGGGATTCTGCCTGTCATTTTATAATCAAACAAGTCCAACAGTGACTTAAGAGCAGTCATTTAATCATATACGTGAGTGACAATAAATAAATCTAAAGCACCTCTTCGTTGCTCAACCACTGAGAAGCTGGCTTTAAATAGTTGACAATTGCAGGAGGATCCAGCATAAGAGCAGGGAATGCAAACCAGTAGTGGAAGGTCCATTTTTTCAAGTCGGCAAAAGAAATAAGAAGGAATCGTGACAATACTGCAGAGTCCTCCACAGCTTTTCCAGTTTGAATGTCCTCCCAGATCTATTTTTTCCCAAAACGGCAAGCTTACATGAGGATTTAATTTTATCAAGTCAAGAAACATAGTTAAATCTGATAACAATAAGTGGGGGCTCAAGATTTTGATATTAAAATGTTCTCCTTGCAAATAAATTTAATATTCAGAAGCCACTCAAGCTGAAGCATGTGCAAAACGTAGACCCAATCACCCAAATAGCTCGAAGAGTGGAATGGAAGGTCACTGACTTGTTTTAATAATATATCTAATACAACCCTTACACAAAAGCTGCTGAACGGAGACAATAAGGATTAGCAACTGGGTTTAAAAAGACTTTGATCCAATGCCAGGAACTGTTTCATCTCAAGAGCTTAATTTGTCATGCAAAGGCTTGGAATTTGTTTGATCAATACCTTTAACCAATTGGAAATTATTTATTCCTCAATTATCTCCCCCAGTGATATCTTTATAAATATTTACCTTGCTAGCTTCTGCCTTCAAGAGGTTCTTTTTGTCAAGTGCATGGAAGCTTTCTACAGTATTAGTATTGTAAAGTATGCCTGGAACAGAGCACCTGTTCCTGTTGCCGCGGGTAGTATCTGGGGACAATAACGACTCACTTGATTCAGAAGGCAAGGACTCAGCTAAAACAGTTAAGTGATTTGATACTTGAGAATGCGAGCAAGGTGCATAGAATCCTGCAACGAGATAACAGCAATATGAGATCAAAATTGCATTGTGCCGGCAAACTTTATTAACATAGCTCAAATTGCATCTTTAAAACTTGACAAAAAGAATCTGCATTTTCTAAAACAGAAAAAGAAACAGATGCATAAATCCTCAGTCAACGCTAGTTTGGATTTCTTAAAAAAATAAAATAAAAATAAATAAGAAAAAGGTTATACTTTGAACTTGGAAATTAGAATTGGAAAAGTGAAAGGGAAACACAATTATCAGACATGTGCAGTGTTCTTAATTTGTCCTTTCTCAGTTACATAAAGAAAAACCGAAAACTACGTAATCTGAATTAAAAAACAAGTTAAAAGGACAAGGGGGCAAGCAAAGAGAAGAACCATTAATTGGTATTGGAGAATCATCAATGCCAAGTTTGTTGAGCTTTAAAGAAGACAATCTGTGCCAGAAACCTTCATCGACCAAGCTCTGCATCGGTGCGAATTGCAGCAAGGATCCCTCCTGGGGATGCCCCGCCATAGTTGTTTCCTCCTTCTTCCTCTTATTCTTCCAATTTCGAAATTAAGTGAAGTTCCAAACCAGTAAACGGGTTTTGATATGCGCTTACTTGCAAATTTTGAAGTCACAAGTAGTTTTGACGAATTGAAAACTTGATAGGATGAAGCAAGATGGCTTCAGCATCGTCCGGGAATGATTACTCGGTGTTGTTGGGTTTGGATCCGGGTCTTCTTTCCGGGTCTACGCTCCGTTGCTTCTCGTCGTTTATTATTAGGACGATGATCGCTTTACGCCATCACATCTGGCTCATTCAAGGTTAGGACCCCCCAAACCTTGAATTTTAAATTTTAATTTCTTTTTAACATACGGATCATTAATTTGAGGGTAAATCCAGTACCCAAAATATTTTTTAGATATATCTAACATTTTAAAATATTTTATGGTGTATTCAGTACTCTAAAATGTTTTTTAAATGCTTCCAACACTTTAAATATTTTTGTGCTTTGGTGCTGAATGCATCAAAAAGTAATTTTCAAATTTTAAAATGTTGGATGTATCACAAAATATTTTAAACTATTAGATGTATTTGATAAAATATTTTTGGATGCTGAATGCATCTTAACTTTTAATTTGATCTTATGGTATCAACTAATTTTGAATTAGGTTGTCATAATTTTTTCTTTTTATCATGCTTTTTCTTTATGTTTTTATTTGTTTTTATTTAGGTCCTTACAATTTTTTTTATCAAGTCTTCACAGTTTCACTTAATTTTTAACCAAATCTTTAAAGTTTTGTTTATTTTTTATTCTATAAATTTTAATAATATTCTTTTATAATAATTTATTTTCAAATTTTCAAAATTTTGAATTAAACATATATTTATATTTATTTTATAATTGTAATTTTTACAAATATAAAATTCGAATTATAACAATAAAATTTTCGAAAAACATAACATAATTGAAATTAATTTATAATTAATTATTTGAATCAGTTGATAATTATTTATTAATTATTTTTATAATTATTTGAAAATTAATTTAAATTTATTATTAATATTTTATATTTCAATATTATTTATTTAATTAATTTAAGTAAATTAATAACTTCAATTAAAAAATACATAAAGGTCATTAAAAATAAGGTGAACTATAAGAACTTGATAAAATGAAATAAAAACCACAAAAACCTAAATAAAAATAAGTGAAAGTATAAAAATGTGATTTAAAAAAAACCATAAAAACCTACTTCAAAATTAAGTGAAAGTACAATGACCTGCGGATTAATCATCCCTTTAATAAGAGACATGACTTTTTTTTAAAGAATACTTATATCAAATTGACAAATTGTTTATATTCATCATATTAAGTTCTCTAATCATATATGATCATATAGTCTTATTTTTAAAATATTAGGATTTAATAGTATTGAACTATAAATCACATAAAAAAAATACATGGCTATGTATAATTAGAAAACTTGACATAATTGATAAAAAAAACTTAATATTTTTTCTTTTTTTTAATTGCCGACAATAATACAAATTCTTGAGAAGTTGAAATCCATATGATAGATATTCTTCAGCCTGAAAAATTATAATGAAGATTCTGACACCAAAAAAATAATATGAGAGATTTAATAGACTCAAGTTCAAAGGCATTTGACCAATATGCTATGCATAATAAAAAAATACTACCAAAACGGTGCCTTGTTGAAAATATTTATGGGATGCTACGCCTAAACTTATTTACGCTTAGAATGAGTTCTATTTTACACGCAAATCGTTGACAGCAAGAACAAGTTTCATGTTGTGATACTCATTTTTGCTGTTAATTATTTTATGTAAAATTAAATTTATTCTAAGCATGAATGAGTTTAGGTGCAGCATCCTAATAAATATTTTTAATAATTTAGCATTTCAGTAATATTTTTTTCCATATAATTCAAAGTATCATCAAACTATTCTGGGTTTGAGACTAATTTTTATCAAGTCAGAAGTATTAAAGTTATAACCCTCCTAATAAATACGCTTTTTAAGATTTAAACTTGTGTTCTTCTCTTTTTGCTAATTTTTTTATTGTGCATAGGATATCCATCAAAAAGCCCAAGTTCAAGTTAATTAACAGATAAAATATTGCATACCAAATAATTATAAAAAAGTATAGATATAAAATATTCTTAAAAATACATATGATTTTTATGTCGTATGTTCTTCTTTTTTTCCCCTTTTCTTTTGGGTAATGAATCTTAAGTATGTAAACTATCTTTATCTTGCAGTGTTTTTTTTTTTTAACCAGATCTTTATCTTGCACAGTTTAATACAATTGGCGGAGCTGATATATAATTTCAACTCAGGTTTATGTACGTAACTCAGCTATTCGCATGCTGTAATCATTTTCGCTTGTTGAACAATTTAGTGAGAATTACAATCAAGTTCTAATAACAATCTAAATAGCTTGCGTTTTTGAGTGAAAAATGATAACTCTGAGACTTGTTTTATAATTTTTTTTGGACTTTATTGTAATTTTTCCAAAAATTTATTTTAATGAATTTTTATTAATTTTCTTTAAAAAAATCTCCAGCCACTGAAAAATAATCAGCCCAACCCAACCCAAACCCACTTTCCATTCGGTTCACAGCCCGTCCCCGGCCCCGGTCTGGTTTTGGACGGCATATTTTCTAATGACAATGATTTTAATATTTTCTTTTGAAAAATAGAATAATCATTTAATTTGTCTCCCAAATCGCCAAAAATTGAAATCAATATGTTAGTTAAACCAATATATAATCTTTTAATAAATAACTAATTTAACTAATTAACTTAATCTTTAAAATTAGTTATATATTTAGCCCTTGTAAGAAAAGAGTATCAATTAATTCTCGGTGACTACGTCCAAGGAACTGAGGTTTCTACTAAAGTTACGAGGATAATTACTCCTAATACACACACACACACACACACATATATATATCAAATTTAAGAGATGCAAACAAACTTTTTGTAGAAGAACGTCAAGAATAATTCAATTTAAATTTCAATATTATTATTGAATAAAAAGCAAAACATGTACGAAAATAAGGACTAAAACGCAAAATCATTTAATTACATCATGAACAACATATAACAACATTATATTCAACACTAGAATGTAATTAACATCCATTATATTACATTGAACTTTTTGGGGGGGGGGGGAACTATGATCACTTTACAAGTAATTAACATCCATTGAAGGCGCAGGCAAAGGACATCAGTGTTTGGTTTTGGGCTTCTTGACGATCATCACAGTACAGGCAGCGTGATGAGCACAATAGTCACTTATGCTCCCTAACACCGCCCTGCAAAAATTGAATACACCCAAAACCAATATCATCATCATTATATTAGCCATATAGTATTGTCTTCTTAAAAATGGTTTATATAAAATAAAAATACTTGAAAATGGTAGTGCAATAACATCAAGACAAAGCAAACTAAGCGACCATTGTCATAGCCAAGCTAGCTTTTACCACCTTCCTCCATTTTAATTAAAACAATTGCCTTGTTAGAGTTTCAGTCTTGTTTCAAACTAGTTATCCCTTTAAAATGTTAAGGAGCCATCTTTTTATTAAATCATAGTTACTAATGAAGATAATACTCCCTCCGTCCCCTATTATAAGGAACATTATTGGAGCTCATCCCATATATCAAAATATTAGTTAAAATTAGTTAAAGATAATAAATATGTAAAAATTAGAAATCCTTTCACCAAAATACCCTTATTCTTAGGGGAGAGAGAATATAAGAGAGAAAATAAGAAAATTATTATAATAAAAAAATTATAAAAGAAAGAAAATATGTGATGGAGAAATAATAATTTGAAGAATAAGATAATAAATATATTGAGTATTAAAATAAATAATTAATGAGGGCAAAATAGGAAAAAAATTTAAGACAATTTGTATATGTTGTTTATATTAAGGGACAAGAGGAAGATTGTTATAACAGGACGAAGAAAGTACTATTTACCTCTTAAATGTAAAAGTAAATAATTAACTGACAGAGATTAAAAAAATAACTTCAGTTATTTATAAACTGTCTGTTGGTTAATTATTTACATTGGAAATCATATCATTCATGGAGATCCTCTTTTAACATGCACAATAAAGAATAATTTAGGATAAAAATTATAAATGCAGGTGATAAAATTGATTGATATCCTACATTTATGATTCAAATAAACCACTTTAATTAGCTCTTATATCTATGATTAAAGGAAGTAAATGATACTAAAGTTCTTTTTTGGTTTGGATAAGTAGTCGACTGATGATGGTTTAGTTCTTGCTGTACAATAAATTTTCTATCTGTATGCATGATCATAAATAACAATTATTTTGAAACAAAGAAAACAATAATAATCCCTAATACAATGTTAGTCTTTATAGTTTGATTTTCATTTTGATTTCAATTTCTCATGGACAAAATAATCTAAATTTTTATTAAGATTAAAAAAATTAACGTCTCATAATAAAAGAAGCTTGAGTAGCCAAACCCTATAATTTCAAACTATACAGCAACAACAAATGTCTTACTCCAGTGAGCTCACTAACACAATCCATGTATTAATGTGTACATACCTTTTAATAGCCCCATAACCATGACTTCCCACCACCAATAAGGAAGCATGATGTTTGTCCACAGCTTCACAAATCACATTTCTTGGGTCACCTTCCGTTACTTCTACTTCTACGTCAGTTACCTGTTCATTTTGCTCCACCATTAATACGCACACACAAGCTACTTCAAGCCTCAAGCATTAGATCATCGTGTAGAATTTTCACCATCCACATGAAGAATCATATTTCAAATAATTTTTCTAAGCTTATGCATAAATTATTTGAGATTTTTCTGGCAGCTGAGCGATATGGTGTGACTGTTAATTTATTCATGGCTGGTTAGAGACATTCAAAGTGATTCTCAATTAATTACCGATTTCTTGCGGCAAATCTCTTTAGCTTTTTCAACAACTTTGGCGGCCTTCTTCTTCAAATCCCCATCAACAATGGGCAAAACTTCAGCAAATCCTGCCAACAATATATTTGCAGTTTTCTCAGAAAATCGGAATCTAAAAGGAAGGAAACAGAGATAGAATCGACGGAAAAATCGAGTACCAGGACCGGGGATGCCGAGGGCGGAGGTCGCATAAGGTTTGGCATGAACAAGAACAAGCTTAAACAGAGGACTAGGCATGGGCGTGAAGAAATGACAAAGAGTCCAGTTGAGTGCGTAGGCGCTGTGCTCGCTCTCATCGATCGCCACCACCATCACTTTCCTTTCCGGTGTCGTCGCCATGGGAGAAGCTCACCGTCGCAGAGGATCGCACCGGTCAATTACTTCTCGTTGGCTTCTTCGGAACGCTCGCACAATACGCACCACGTGCTGCCGGATTGACGCCCGATGTATTCAGAACAATTAGATTCCGTTGAAATGACTGTGAATAATTATAATTTAGATGTTCCAGAGATATCTACAAGAGTCTGGACATTGGGGAATTCCAGATGCATCGCACAGTGGCATGGGTTCGTGGAACAATCTGGTAGGCGGAAACGACCCGCTATGACAATCGGGTACCCGAGTCCGTATATATGTGGGCTACGCAAGAGTGGCACCGCCGGATTGACTGGACCGTCGCAATGGGCGGATCCGGTTAGCGCCAAATCGGGGCATTGTCGACTGCTATGTTGATGGGGCGACGAATCACACGGACAAACTTGTAATCGGAGTAGTTTAATAAATAATTCTTGAAATACGTAAAATACAATAATTAAGATATACAAATATGCAGTGAAAATCTTATCCAAGTTATCGTAAAAGAAAAGAAATTTAGATATTTAATAAGCATTATCTATCATTTTATTTATGATAATAAAATTTTTCATTGTGCTCTTTTTATTTAATCAAAGTATGCCAAACCACCTTGAGTTTGAAATTAATCCTTTTGAACGCTTAAAATGTAAAAGATTTTCACTTTTCCCAACAAGTGTCCTTCTTAAAATCTTCAAATAGTTTGTTGGTTTGTTGGATGTATTTTATTTCATTTATATTATTTTTCAAGGAAGAAAAAACCGGACTGGCTCATCCAGAAAATCAGTGAACCGGTCTGAGGTCCGGTCTGATTTAACCCAAAAAACCGGCTCCCAATCAACTCGGGATGAATCGGAATGAATCAGACTAAACTGGTAAAAACCAGAAAACTGCTGGGTGGACTAGGTTGGCTGGTTTTCCCCCCCCCAAAAACTGCTCTGACTGTTTGCCGGAGAAGGAATGGACATCTTATTGTCTGCAAGAAACCATGGACACTGTAGAGACAGGCAGTAGAAGCCGAGGAGATCATGGAGGTTGAGGAAGAGAAATCATTGTTTGTGCCGCTTTGAGGTATATCAGTAGAAGACTGGAAGAGAAGGAGAAAGATAAGAGAGAGTATAGGATGGATGAATAAAGTATAGAGAAGAAAAATGATACCGACCTTTTGCTATTTCTCCATTTCTCCATTCTATTTGAGGAAGAAATAGAAGTGATCCTTGAGGACGGCAGGAAGTAATTTGAGAAAGAGGTGGAAGAACTGGTGATGCGTGCTCAAGGAGGCAAAATATGCTGCTACAGTGCTACCACCCTAGTCTACTCTGCTTGTTCAATGTCGTATGAGAGAGATGTTGCTTCGTGATGTGAGATATAAAGAAAAAAGTGGTCATGGCACGTGGGAGAGAGAAGATAGACAAAAGGAAAAGAAAAAAAGGAAAAAAAATTAAAAAAAACCCATTTAAAATTAAATATTATTTTTATAATTACAATATGAATATTTTACTAATTTTAATTAAATTATATCATTTTAATTATTACCGGTCTGACCTCGGTCTGACCCCGATTTAACCCATTAATCCTTGAACCAGTATCTTGACCGGTTCAGTATCCGATCCGGTTTTTTGTTCCTTGTTATTTTTCTTGAACAGTTTTTTATTGTGAAAAAAAAAGACCATAAATTTCTCTTTAAAAATTTATTTAGAGAATAGTTCTAGGAATAATGTGAAGCACTAAAATCCTTTAGGGGAAATAGATAAACATATGACATGATCACGTTGCTATTAATGACCATAAATTTATGCAATTTATAATTTTTCTTATTTGCAATTCATTTTTCTTTATGTCAATTATTTTTTATGTATTATTTTTTTCTGTGTGCAACCTTTCTTGTTTTTTTACTCATCAAGGGATTCCTGTTATTCATAATGCTTTTTTTTTTTAATTTCTCCTAATTTTCATGAAAGGATTTATGACCAATTTTGTCTTTTTATTTGATCGTCAACATGTTTATTAAAGGAGTTTAAGAAAATTTTGTAATCAATGCATTGGGTACTAATGTACATGGGCAACTTTTGGTTCAACACGCTTATCACAAAGCTCACTGGTCTTGCTCGCTTTATAAGGGTCGAGTTTATTGGGAGTTTGCACAAGGCACCTATGCTTTAGTCTTAGTATTAGAGGGCCCAAGCGAATTTAATAGGAAAAATTTCGTTTAAGGACGACAGTACAGAATTAATTTTAAAGAGCTCTCAAAACATTCTGAAATTTCAATGCAGGATAAGGGGGCAAACTGATATTAATTCCACAAAGAAAATGATACTATTGCCCCTTATAATACTTATTGCCCTTCGAAAATGAGACTTATATTTTTAGTGGTGTAAAAGAGATAACAAAGATGAAAAAGGGGAAGTTGGCGTCATTTCCTATCCTCCCCTATGCAGTGCAGCAATGGTGAATGGAGATATTTTACTACCATGAGTTGAGAAAACGCAGTGGCGGAGCTTCACTTTGAAGGTCCGTCCCTTCGATGTCTGTCGAAGTCGAAGCTAGAGTTGGTGCAAGAGAGAGAAATCGCAAGTGTGCCTTATGGTGTTGCGTCTTCTTTGGAAGTGGCATCAGCTTGGCATGGAAGGTAAGATTTTGTTTTCAAAATTTTTATTTTGTTCGTGTGATTTGGTGAGCACAGGTGAGTTGTGATGGCCGAATAACATAGAAATGAGTATTTAAGTGCATGGGTACGTAGGTTAGGAGTGACTTACAAATCTAACAGTGGTTTTGGTTTTAGAAATAAATTTTTATCCTCATCTTGTTTTAAGTTGTTAAACATGTGGTGTTTGTGATTTTTGAAAAGTGGGTGAGAATAGGTGCACATTGAGTATAATGCGTTGCTGAAAGAACTTAGGTAGGCAGAAATGAAAGGGAAATGGGTGAGTGTGCTGGAGTGGGTGATATGACAGGTAAATATGCAGGTGAATGTTGAAAATATGTATTCGAATTGTAAATTTACAAATTCAAATTATGTTAGGGAAAAAGCAATTTATTGTTGTGAAAATCCATATTTTTGTTGTCAATGTTCAAATTCCTGATATAAACATACACTATCTTTAATTGCTGAAACTCAATTGAAAGTGATACTTCAATGATGTGTAACAGTAAAGGATAAATGGATAGCAGTAGTGGGAAATAATTATTTTGCATCTTTCATGTTGGAGGGTAATTTGTAAAGACCTCAGAAAGAAAATTCATCTATAAAGGGGGCATCATTAGCAGAAGATTGATTAGAAAAGGAATGACATATGAAGAACTACAATGCATGGTAGCTTATGATGTCTGGCTAGGGACTTATGAACATAAAATGAAGTACAAAGTTATCTTTGACCAAGAAACATTCTTAGATTTTGTTGACGATATCAGTTTTGGACAAGTAATTGAGTACATCGATAGCAGTGGCCATGTTTATGTTTGTGAGAATGAGAAAGACTTGACACAAGTGTCACAGTTGGATAGTGCACAAGAGTAAGTTGTTTTCAATTGGTTTTATTAAGGTTGTGTGTATATGATAAGAAATTTGTCCAATTTTCATAAACTAAATTGTAATACTCAGAAGTTGAACTTGTTTATGCAGGTTAGATGATTTGGTTGGCCCTTGTGAAATGTTAGTATCTCCAATTGAATTGGATTTGGACACAGATAACATAAATATATCTCTTGTACAAGGTGTGCCAATACTGATAGGAAGTTTAAGTATAGAAATGTTGCCAACCCCAATAGCAGTGATGAATTCTTTAAAGTAGATAGATTTGTTGATGTCAAAAGGACAAACTTTTATTAATGCTAACCATTTTAGAGAGTCATTATAGTATAGTTGTGAACACAAGTTTACATATCGATATGTAAAGAATGATAAGCATAAGATGATTGTGAAGTGTTGTGTGAATGGTTGTTCTTGGGAATTTGAGCATATGATGTAGATGCGAAGAATGAATTCCTAGTTGTGAGAATATTTAGCAGTGAGTACTTGTATTATGCACAAGACAATTTAGTTGTTCCTCATAAGAAGAGGTGCAGACTTACTTCAGTAGTCATAGTAGATAAGTTGAGTTCTAGAATAGACGAATCTCCAATTGACATTAGACGGGATTTAGAAAGAGAGTATGGGTTGAGCCTCAACTACTAACAAGCATATAGGGCGAAAGAGAAAGCATTGACACAAATTCATTGTTATCTAGAGAAGTCTTATATATTAGTCCCTTGGATATGTGAAAGGCTAAGGGAAAGTGATCCAGAAACGGTAGCATAGTGGGTTGCTTCATCAGATAATAGATTTCAAGCTATATTTATTGCATATGGTTGTTGTATAAAAGGGTTTTTAGAAAGTGGTAGACCTATATTATATGTGGATGGATGCCACTTGAGTGGTTCGTACAAAAGGATGTTATTGGGAGCACAAGTATATGACATGGATAATGAATTATTCCTACTTGCATATGCAATTGTTAGAGGTGAGATATTCGATGAGTGGGCATGGTTTTTGGGTAACATAAAGGATATTACGGGATCATTAGAAGTGACAATAGTATCGGATAGGCACAACTCAATAAAAGGTACAGTGCAAGCTGTGTTTGGAGAAGATCGACATGCTTTTTGTTATCTTCATGTGAAGGAGAATTATAGTGCTGAGTTTTTAAAAATAATCAGAGGAAAGAGAAAGACCAGCGGACAAACAAAGGAAGTTACACTAAAATTACTTGATTCTGTTGCATATGCAAGACTTGATAGAGACTTTGATCGTAGTATAGACAAGCTAATGGGATTTTGTTTAGAATTGGGACAATGGCTTCAAAGGAATGGAGACATTGAGCATTGGGCACAAAGCAAATTTTCTTACAAGAGGTGGGATAATATCACCACAAATCTAGCTGAATCCTTTAATGCCTGGCTGCTTCGTGAGAGGAAGCACAACATTGCTGTCTTGATACATGAGTATTGGGAAAAATTAGCCAAAAAAATGTCTAACAGCAAACTAGCCATGAGGAATCAGACCAATGGTGTGGGATCTAATATAGGGAAAAAGTTGATAGATCATGTGACCAGATAAGAAAGAATGCATGTGTAAGATTATGGAATAAACAATTTTAAGGTCAGATAGGGAAACATAGATGTGCGGGTAAATCTTGTGTTACGTGAATACACTTGCAAAGGTTGGCAAATGTCAAGACTATCTTCCCTACATGCATGTACTGCAATCAAGAAGGTATATGGTAATATATATGCATATGTGGAGCATTGCTTTTTACTCTCAACCCAAAAAAAAAAAATTTATGACAGACTCATGATCCTAGTTGAGACCCATGACATTCCTAAGCTAGATTCCCTTCGATATGAAAATTACTCATCCACTATCTTCCTACAACCATTAGTGACAACTGGCCGTGTTGGAAGGCCTAGAGTTAGGAGGATTGAGTCAAAATTCCAGTAGAAGAAACTGTATCATTGCTCAAGATGTGGTGAAGTTGGTCACACTAGAAAGACTTGCGATAACCCGAACCCTGAGTGACTTTGTTGTTGAAAATAGTCTCTCTTTTTTTAAAATTTAATACACAGCTACTTTTGTACATAAATGAGCCCACTATGTATTTCTGGAGTTGTTGGGGAAGTAGCTATCACAACAATAAGTTCCTTTGGTAAGTTCACACAGCTGCGAGTAGCACAAATCTAGAAGATGCATGAAGTGATTAACATATAATTCAACACCTATTGTTGTATAACAAGGCATGGTGAATTGAACTCTATCATTCTCTTGTGGGTGGGGCCACTTTCTTAAATATGTTATGACATGATCCCTACAATCATTACTGAAAAATTAATACATAACAATGTTGGCTCATCTATGTCCATAATAATGTATGACAAAAAAATTACAATGAACTAAAGACTCACATATTCTCTTGAACATGAATCGTGGGATACAAGATTATATTATTTGAATCTGGGTTGGCCAAAGCCTCCAGTTTAGGCTTTACTCTCTTTAGTATTTCAATGAAGCGTGACATTTACACAATTACAAATGACTATCGCACAGGGGACGCTATGGTTGTCCAGAAAAGTAGACGAATAATTATAGTACTTACACATGATTCTACCATCATTTGCTGCCCTCCTAATGCTGGATCAGACTTCTTCTTCTTCTTTCGGTGCTTCATTATGTCCTCATCACCACGCAGTGAGTCCAACACATAAAACTTTAGTGTGCTTAGTTCAAACACAAGGCAAAACCAATGTAGTGTAAACAAAACAGGTAAAAAAATATATTCATATTCAGCCAAATTGTACCCCAGGTGTTTTGGGAGTACTTGTTTGAGATGTTTTTCTACTTGCCATGCTTTGTGTTCCTTTACCATTCTTGTTTATTACAGCTAAAATTGCACAATAATTTTATTGTTAGTGAAGAAACTGTACTTATTACATGACTAAACAATTTAAAGCACTTACCCATTAGCAGAGGATAGCACTAACCATGAAATTTGTGTTAAATATGTGTCTTTTAACCACAGAAGCATTCTCCTGTTGGTTAGTATTCATTTTATAGGCAATCAAAGTCATGATCTGCAGGTTAATGGAACTTCAAAATTCAAAATCTAGAAACATTTCATATATGCCCCACTTGGATGTAAATTGAACATCGCATGTATTTTGTTGCTTATCCATCTTCTGGGACCCAGTGCTTGTAGGTCTACTCGTCTTGCAAAATATCCAAACATATCTACTATGACCCTACAACAAATATGAAAGCACAAATATATAGTCAGTATTACGTACTAGTATTATTCACAGGTTATCATTTCTATAACAATTGAGGATACTTACTCTTTAGCCTCATCTAGTTGACACCACTCAGTACACGCTGTATAAAATGTATCCTTGTCACTCATTTTCACCTTTCTAGCATAAGTAAACATGCATGGAGATTTCACTACTAGGACTTTATGTCTATTTGACCTACTTATCAGTAGTTCCACCACTTTTGTCACCATTTTCCCATCTTTGTTCCCTTCTTCAGTTTTTGCCTCCTTTTCTACAGCTTCATTTTCTCTAATATTTTCATCTTTGTCTTCATCTTCATCTTCTTCTTCTTGTTGTTCATCATCATGCCATTTCTGACCATTTTGATGTTGTTCTCCTATCTTTGCAGTCATAACTTCATCATCTTGTGGCTGCTCATCTTCATCCTCATCACTATAGTGTTCTTTTTCTTCTTCTTTATGCTCATCTTTGTCACTTTCATCCTGCTGTTTATCATTGACTTCTTCATTGCTTCCCCGGTTAAGAATTTTGGTTTCCAACTTAACTAATTCATCACAAACAAAACTTTGAATCTTGGCCATTTCATTGTTTAATGTGTTGTTGAAATTAACTCAAAACTCCTTAATGTCTTGCATATTAAAGTGTATGTCATCAAACAGATATTAACTGTGACCAATAGACATTACCACGTTAGTATTACTCACTGGGTGATGGAAAGTTCTACTACTTCCCAGCTGTGTTGATAATTGAACTTCAGCAAAGGTTGGACAATAAAAAATACCATGTCGACTCTCCTTTTCCACCTCAATTCTACCCTTCACTACCTTATCATCCTAATGCTTAATGGCATCTTTGTCTTTTGGTTCAACTCTCTCCAAAGGGAACCTTTGTAGGACGTATAGCTACAGAGAAAAAAAGCATTGCTCAAAAATTAAATTAGACAATACATCAACAATTTAATTGTCAAACCATATCCAATATCATTTCTTTTGTAAACAAATATGCAAGTACCAATAAAAAGTAGATCCACCCTCTGATAACTCTAGAGTCCTCTTACTACTCTTATTGCACCATTTTATTTCTTTACTGAGTTTATCAAGCATAAACGAAGCCTAGTCAAATTTTTGCCAAGTCTTTTCTATGCAGGCCATTACCTTTAGCACCTTCTCACTCACACTTGCACTTCCTGTGGAACTAAGAAGAGTTCCCAGTGTGAAAAGAACAAAATAGAATTTAAACATTCCATCTTCTTCCTTGTTCATTATCTTTTCCCCAATTTGAGAATATGTCAATGGTTCAACTCATTTACTTGATTCTTAAAGCCATCCAACTTCACTTTAGAGCTCTTATTTGGTAACCCAAGTACTCTCCTCACATCTTTAGCTGTTGCCTTCTTTGTCTTCCCCCCTATGGTCATTTGTTTACTTGGAGGATCATATGCATGAATCAACTCCAAACATAAATCTCTAGGGATCTTATTCAAAGTAATACCAAGAAGATGCCTAAACCCCATTTCTTCTACCTTGCGCTTTAAATTTTCTTTCCCATTTATAAACTCAGCCACTTTCTTGAATTTCGTGGGAGAGCAACGGGTAGAAAATGGGGACACATACTTCTCCTTCTTCTTCTTCTCTTGTATCAGCTCTAGCTCCTTTTTCTTGTACGGCTCCCTCTCAGTATCACTCATTTGATTCCATATTGCTAAAGCTGCATTTGTGATTGCTTCCATTCTATCATCTCCTGCTTCTTTTGTTCCCAAAATTCACCCTTGGATACTTTCCATCCAGTAACTTGTGCTTCCTTTTTTGCCATCTTCTTAACCCTTTACATAATAATTACAAAGTCATTAATCACTAGACTAAACAATACTTCAAAATTCATATTGTCCAACATTTCTTCTTACGTCAACCCCAAAATTGTATGTACACTAATTGTTATTGTTAAATCCTTAACTTTACTTGTTATATGACAACACATCAAATAGTTATATATAAGTTAAGTGGATAATCAACTAATTTCTCATGTAAATTGCCTAATTTTCATTGTGAGGCCACTACATATGAGATTCTAACAAACATAAAATTGGGTAATACAAGTGGTTAATTTACTGATTCTTCATGTAAATTGCCTAACTTTTAGATTCTAACAAACATGAAACTATTAAACAGAAGCCAAGTAGATAATCAACTAATTCCTCATGTAAATTTCCTAATTTTCATTGTAAGCTCACTATATATCAGATTCTAACAAACATGAAATTGTTACGTAGATGCTAAGTAGATAATCAACTAATTCCTCGTGTAAATTGCCCAATTTGCATTTTGAGGCCACTAAATATCTGATTCCAACCAACGTGAAACTGTTACATACAAGTGCTTAATTAACTAATTCTTCATGTAAATTGCCTAGATTTCAGATTCCAACAAACATGAAGTTGTTACATACAAGTGGTTATTTGTAACACCTCACATAATTATATCAATATACGCAACAAAATATTTAATTTAAAAGTCCATACATATTTCTAATACTTCAAACAACTCAAAATTTCAAAATATTTCTAACATAACAACAAAATAAACTATTAAAGTCTTATAGTCATGGCAAATAAAAATATAATATAGCATGTGCTTGAGGAGCATAGAAGCCTTCACGGCTCACTCCATTGGTGCCTTCCCTTGATTCCTACTAGATTCTTCGCCTGAAAATTGTTAATATAGGGGGTAAGATCAAACGTCTCAGTAACTACTGAAATTCTAACCTATACAAGCAAATCATATATGATAAACCAAAAATCCGTTTATATGTGTGTATATAAATATATTAAAAATCCCGGATTTGAGACATCCAATTCAATTTCATTTTTTTCCCAGCAATATACCAATATCATTTTTCTAATATATCTAAAAATAATACAATATGCTGCCTCCCTTATATCACCGTCCACCCTTATATCGCTGACTGGAGCCATAGGCTAACACATAGTCCGATAGGAACTAATCCATTTTACTGAATTATTCCAAGCTCACCGATACTAGAGATATATCCGGCCAAAGATATAGAGCTCAAGCTCGGACTATGGCTCCCCTCCTTTGTGAATAGGGAGGTGTCACATGTCCCACAGCTCCAATGAATTCCCGGCCAAAGGAAAACATGGAAGAAGGGGCCCTGACAAGTGCTATCCACTGTGCACCGAGTGATGGCATACCACGTGGTAATTTTATATCCATGCAATCTCCTTCTATCCTTAGCCCAACAATGCATGTCAGATGCCAACAATGTTACATCATAAATACTTCCTCACATATATTAAAAATAAGATAGCAATAAAACTTATATACCATTTAATAGCAATTCATGATAATTTCATAGCTATTAATATATTTAAATATTGATCATAATTACTAGCAACGAATCTTAATAAAATCATGTAACATACCAAAACATTTATTTTACAAAAATCATAATATTATATTTCAGGAATATAATAATTAGTAAATCCACAATATAATCATACACAATTTACATGTACAAGAAAGAATTTTCAGAGTTACCTGGTACTCTTTAGCTTACAAATATTCACACAAAGTTTACTCCAAAATTCTCAAGTCTACAAAATTACACATAAATATTTATTAATATAAACTCAGAACTACTCCAAAGCTACTCTAAAATTCTAGGACTACCCTCTAAACCAAAATTACCTAAATATATTAACTCTCCCAAATCTAGGCATTTATAATAGATATTATTTTGAAAAAATAATTTACATATAAGGCTATTTAAATTTAACAAAAGTGTATATATATTTTTTATTACCCAAAATCTAAATATTTTATATTAAAATTCTCAATTATTTATTATAATCTCATTTAAAATTTTTCCTCAAACCAAACAACTTCTTTTTAAATTATAAACAAACTGTAGCTTTATTTAATTTCACAAAATTCTCAATTTATAATTTTTCAAGCCTTCAAAAATTATTTCCAAAAATATATATTTAACTTATTCAATATTTAAACCGATTAAAACCTCAATAATATATTAAATAACTCAAATAAATTATTTAACTCAAATTTAATCGGTAAAAACATATTACAAGTCTAAATAACAAATTTTTCAACTAAAATCTTAGTTTAAAATTCTCAAAATAATCATTAAATAAAAATAAACTGATTAAAATTCCTTAATAATGGATCTTTAAATTTCTACGGTCATATATTGTCAAAACTCCATATTTACTCTATACCCAAACAGTAAAATTTTCTCTAAACATTATAATGATACTAAAAATATAAAGCTATAAATATATAGGAAATATTCATAAAAAAATTTGACAGAAAGAAGTAGTTTTGTGTACCTAAATTATCTCCAAAACTTGTCAAGTGCTCTGCAACTTAGCTTTCTCTCTCTTTTCCTCTCTGCTTCTCACACTCTCTTCCTCTTTCGTCTCCTCCCTCGACTTGAAAAAGATATGGGGTGAAGGTATTTAACAACCCTATGTTCAAATTTTTCCACCGCCCCTTACCCATTTTTCTACGTTCATCTGCTACTTCCCCGTTTTTCTTTGGCCATTAACACCCCCCTTATTCTTTGTTCCATTAAATGATGCCCAGGCTTTCCATCGAATTCGGTGGAAAGCTGGGTATCTATTTTTTTTTTAATAATAAAATAATAATATTATATTATTTTAATTAATTGATATCTTTTTTTTTTTAAAATAGTATGTTACATTATTTAACTAATTCTTCACGTCAATTGACTAACTATCATTGTTAGCCCACTAAATGTCACGTTCCAACAATCAACGAGGTAAACCAAAGAAAACCCACTCATTTGCCCAATCCATACAACAACATTTGCCCAATCCATACAACATTTGCCCCTCCTGATTCTTTTTTTAATTCCCACACAATGCCTATAAATTGTATAGCAATACATTTAACTACCAACACTAAGTTTTCCCTTTATAATAAATTCATACTTAGCCCCCACAAAAACTCTTAAGGCTACACTCACAAGCTTTCTCTCACTAAATCAGGAGGATTTGCTAAAATGGGTGATGGGTGAACACTATGTGACGCATTGGTAATCATTTCTCGGTTAGAACCCAAATGTCATTACCAAATGCACCCACCTTTTAGTGGGTCATTATATTCTTCCTTAACCTCCCATGAAAACAAAATCGAAGAAATCTACAACATTTAATGTAGACCAAAATGCTTACCAAAGGAAATCAATAACTTCTTCTTGCCCTCCTTCTTCCTTCTTTGTCAATAGCCTTGCATGTTTCTTCCTTTGTCGGCCTCGTCTTATTCTTCTTCTGGTTGTAGCAACTACCACGCACCCGCAGAATGAAGGTGACGGAATTTTTGGGGGGCACGTCCTACAATTTTCACAAATTGCGAGAGAGAAGAGTCTTCCCATAGTGGTAGCACGTTCGCAGAGTAGGAGGGAAGATTTTTCGAAGAGTGGTAGCATGTTGGCAGATCAGGAGAGGGAAGAGTTTTCACAAAGTGGGATCACGATTGCATAGAGGGAGAGGAAAGACTTTCTGACCGTCATTTTTTGGCTCTTAGTT